TTTGCTTTTTTTGAGAGAAGCTGCCCCTGAAAAGGAGGTAATAGCTGTGCCCTCCCCTCCCTCCCCTCGTGGACCCCATGTCTGAGCTCTGAGCAGGTGGAACCAGAGAGGACCAGACAAAGGGGACGGTGGTGGTGGCATGGGGAGGCGAGGGACAGCAGGCAGAGGCCCCAGCAGCAGGCCTGGGTCCGTCCATCCAAGCAGCATCAGCTGGGACCCCGACCACGGCTCTCAGTCCCTTATGACCTTCCTAGCGAGTTTAGGAAACAACTGGCATCCGCCTGTCGACTCACAGTGCCGCTGGCGGGCGCCGTCTGGAAGCTCACAGAACCGTGGGCTGAGGTGGTGTGGGCCGGCGGCCACGCTCTGGTCACCAGGTCCCGGCCTCAGCTGCCTCGCCTCTCAGCGGACCCCGCATGGTCTCTCGACGTGCAAAACTCGCAGCCACCATACCTGCCTGCCTTCCTGCACGGATGCCACAGGTGTCCAGAGCGGGTCTGTGCAGGTGCTGGGCACCCGGGGACTGCGAGGGCACTGGGTGAATCCGTCCTGAGAAGGGGATTTCAGATCCTTCGCTGTTTTCGGAAACCGGGGATTCAGAGAAACTTTCCCCAAAAGCCAGGCATCGAGAGGGGCAAACATTAAACAGAACTCGGCCTCGGACGACTCCTTCCCCGTCTGTGCTGTCAGCAGTCGCACAAAACCCAGGAGGGAACCCGAGAGGCAGGCCTGGGACATTGAGCCGCAACGTGAGGCTTCATGTCAACTTTGTTCAAAATCATGGTCAAAAAGAAGAAACTCATTGGCTGAAAGTACAGACGTTTTACTTTAAAAGGGGCATTTCTCCTTAATTTGCACAGCTTCTTTGGGAAGAGCCGAGAGATCGTCATTTTAGGAAGAATTTGGGTAATATTTACAGGTAATGTAAGTGCAGGTAAAACGGTGTACATTTTAGCTTTGTATTTTAAAAGAACACTAGTTTCCCTTTCTCTGAATGTCAGGTACGCCTGCAGAGGTGGACCTGGGGCGATGACACACACATCCTGCGGACACATCCCAGGTTAGAACGCAAGTTCAAACTGCCACGAGTTTCAGAAAAAAAACAATACTTTCCACCTTAGGAGCATTTTAGAGAAAAGTTAAATATGAGGGAAAAAACCCTTCTTATTAAATCAAATTGTGGTGTAACAGCTCCCCACATCCTGTTGAGGGACATCTGAGCGGAGCAGAGCGAAGGTTCCGCTTTCAGGTCTCCGACGGGCCCCGGGGGTCACATGTTACCTGCAGTTCAAAATACTTCTATAAAGAAGAAACCCTGGCGTAGGTGGAAAAGCTGAATAAGAAGTGGAAACTATCAGCGGAGAGAAGACATTGTGGGAAGCGTGGGTGTCGTCGACGCAGCCCTATCAGAGAGAAAGCCACTCCCAAAATAGCCGCGCAGAGCCGGGCGGCGGCCGGGCGGCCTCGGAACTGTGACCTCATGGAAGAGATGAAGGAAGTTGTGGCCGGGAGAGGAGCGGGCGAGAGGGCCCGTGTTCTCCTCGGCCCGGCCATCAAAGAAACACTTGACCTTCACCAGCTCTTTCCTTGGTGTGTCCTTTGTCCACCTGTGAAGGGGGGACCATCGGGCTTTCTGACCTGGACCACAACAGACCGCGGCTCTGGGGGACAGCAGCTGTGGGCTTGTCCATCCCGAGTCGTGTGGACGGTTGTGTGGGGTCATCCACTCCGCGGTGTGGGCTTGTCCATCCTGAGTCGTGTGGAGAGTTGTGTGGGGTCGTCCACTCTGCGGCGTGTGGTTGTCCATCCCGAGTCGTGTGGAGAGTTGTGTGGGGTCGTCCACTCTGCGGTGTGGGCTTGTCCATCCCGAGTCGTGTGGAGAGTTGTGTGGGGTCGTCCACTCTGCGGTGTGGGCTTGTCCATCCCGAGTCGTGTGGAGAGTTGTGTGGGGTCGTCCACTCTGCGGTGTGGGCTTGTCCATCCCGAGTCGTGTGGAGAGTTGTGTGGGGTCGTCCACTCTGCGGTGTGGGCTTGTCCATCCCGAGTCGTGTGGAGAGTTGTGTGGGGTCGTCCACTCTGCGGTGTGGGCTTGTCCATCCCGAGTCGTGTGGAGAGTTGTGTGGGGTCGTCCACTCTGCGGTGTGGGCTTGTCCATCCCGAGTCGTGTGGAGAGTTGTGTGGGGTCGTCCACTCTGCGGCGTGTGGTTGTCCATCCTGGTTTGCTGCCTGACAGTCCCACGAGTACTTAGGGGAGACCCTTGAGGAGGTTTGCTCACGTGCAATGGTTCTTGCGTGAGTTCCCAAGGTCCCCGAAATGTTGTGATCCCAACTGGACATTGCTGGACTCGGACAGAACAGGATCTGATGACCCAGCACCTCAGCCAACACGTGGTAGGAAGGAGGTCGGGCCAGTGGCTCATCAGAAACCACCAGCCCCTGGTGACGGACGGGCCCCGTGCTCCCCCGACCGGCCCTTCCAGCTCCGGCTTCTCCTGATGGCCCCGGTGGGGTCCGAGGGCAGGGTGGGCACCAGGGCCCGGGATGGCTCCGGACACGCTGAGTGGTTTCCACACACCCACGGCGGGAGCCCCACCAGGTTCAGGTGCCCCGTGGGCAGTAGGGGAAGCCCACTTCTGAAGTTTCTTCCCCTTTTATCTCGTCAAACAGATGTTGTTTTCCTGTGGTCTGTGTAACCCTGAGGAACTAGAAGGTTCTAGCTGCTTTGCTTACTGCCTCCCCCGTTCCCCACCATCACGGCTCCTCGGGGCTCCTCTCTCATCGCCATCCTCAGACGTCTCCCCCAAACCCCGTCTTCCCTACCCCGCTCTCCTTCTAATTTCCAGCAAAGCTACCCTTGGACTCGTCTCAGTTGGCAGCGTTGTTACCACTCGGGCGCCTGCCTCCCTCCCGCAGACCTTTCCCACACAGATCACCCATCTCACCCGGTCAGACCTGGGGTCTGCGACTTCGGTTATGTGGGCGATGGGGTGGGAACTAAAACCCTTCTCTTGCTGTAGTGTAACTAAAGGTGCCCTCACCTGTTCAGGTGGGCCCTCTCCACGCTTCCCATCCGTGAAATCTCCCGGTTTTGGGGTCACAGCTGGTTGGCCCCTGGAGTAGGCCACCGTCGGGCTCCCATTTCCACCTCCCCAGTAGGTCCTGCTGCCCAGCAGGAGGAATGCCGACCCCGGAGCCTGGACAGTGCCCCATGGCCCCAAACCCCTTAGTCTGAAAGTGGTTTAGGAAGACACGCTGTGCCCACACAGTTTTAGTCAGTTTTAGGAATGAGTGAGATGATGGCCCCCAAGCCGCTCGTGAGCCGTCCACTGCCGCAGAAATAGACTCAGGTGCCGCAGGGTTATGACGTGTCTTCGTCACCTCACCGGCGACTGGTGTTTCTAAGTATGTTCCACATGCTTGGCTTGGTGTGAAGCACCCTCACGGCTGTAAGCCTCCTGCTTACCAAGACAACACCCTCTAGAACTCAGCATTTGTGAGTGTTCTTTGTCAAAATGTTCTCCGATATGGCAACGTTCTGCCCAATGAACGTTGGACATGTGCCCCCTAAAAAAGAGTGAAACAGGAAAGAAGGGTGGCATCTCCTCCAAGTCCCGGGTTCTCGTCTCTGCACCAGGAGGCGGCATGGCCCCCGGGAGGCCTGGGGTCACTGGGGCAGATGCCAGGGAGAGTGGCGAGAAAGCCGCCTGGGCCTGGCGGAGAGGGCAGAGCTGCCTTCCCTGCTCCACATTGCCTGGGACGGTCATGGAGAAGCTGCCTGTAGCCGAGGAGCCACCTTGCGCACGCTCTCCAGCAGGCGTCCCAAGGTCTGGTCTGAGCCCTGGGCGTCATCGTTGCCCCAGCGGCAGCTGTGAAGAGCCCTAGGCGAGGGTGAGTCCCTCCTAGTGTGTCTAGTCGCTTGTCACCATCCTCAGAGACGATGCTGTTGTCAGGTGACTGTGTGTCTTGCCGTGTCTCAGGCAGGTCCCAGTGTGTCCTCTGCGGGCAGGCCGACCGGAGCCCCTCACCCGGGCAGCACGTGGGCACCACCACCCTGGTCCCGGCCCAGCCAGGCCGCACCTTTGGGAAGAGCCAGGGTTTGAAGTTTGCAGCTCAGGTTCCTGACTGCAAAGCGGTGCCAGTGAGTCCTGTTATCAGGTCCCATGACACAATTCCTGGTTCCCCCCACTGTGTTTTATTATTATTATTCTTAAACATAGTTGGGAGGGAGGTGGATGTTGAAAGGGAATTTAGGGAAGGGAGTGGGGTGGTGAAATGCGCACCAGCTAATTGCTCAGGAAGCCGCCCTCGGATAGGCCGGGGCCTTTGCAGAAACACATGGCGTTTATCTGGGCAGCAGAGGGAAGCCCGGCCATTCCGTGACGTGAGCACGTGTCCCCACCTCCCACCTCTGGCAGGAAAGTGACTGTGTGACACCTCCCCTGTGACATTTCCTCTATCTGGGTGCCCATCGGGGGTGAAGGGAGGGGCGCTGTGCAGCTCGCTCCTGATGGTCTTTGCTCATTTCCTCCCCGGCTGCCAAAAATCACAGGCAGATAGCGGCTGTGGACACGGAAACAGAGATGGAGGAAGAGTCCCACCGAGGGGGCGCCCGCTGCCCGAGTCGGCCCCTCTCTGACTTGACGATGAGGCCGAGGGGTGGTCGCCGAGCCTGGACTCCAAGAGGTGCTTCCATGTGGTTTTATGAACCCACGGACACCTCCGCGGTGCCCTCCCGCTCAGAGGAGATGCGCTCGGGCCCCTGGAGCCCCTGGTGCCCAGGGGCAGTCACTGCACGGCCACCAGCGCCTTCGCCCCGGCAGCCAGGTCCATGCTCTGGCTCAGGGCACCCAGGGGACACGGCGGGAGGCGGGAAGGGAGCCGGTTCCTTCCACAGGCCGCACGTGCCATCCTGAACGCGTGGCTGACGCTGGTTATTTACATACAGTTTTGCGCAGAGTCACCTTCCCCTAATGTGTTCTCGTATTTTTGTTTTCTTGCAGTAAATGAAATAATACGGAACGACCTCTCCAGCACCAGCACCCACTCGTAGTTGGCGGCGTCGGAACTCGCTCAGGAGCCACACGGTGTCGGCAGGCGACACAGACTTCTGACGAAATAAACCGAACACACCTGGTACCACTCAGAACTTCCGACTTACTGAAGATGTGTGATACGGACAGAGACGTGGCTCTTTCACGGGAAGGAAGAAGGGGAAGCGGAAGGAAGGACGGACGGACGGACGGAAGGACCACTCCACCTGCTGAAGGAAAAGTCATCTCAAGAAGAGAGTAAAGGGCTGGGGTGGGGCGAGCGCAGGAGAGAGTGTGGCGGCCCCGTGGGAACGACCCCCCGTGGCAGCCTGGCCCCAGCGCGTCCTCGGGCCCCCCTGGATTCGGTCCTGGAAGTGCCTTATTCAACCCAACCACAGCATCAGGGCTTCGTAGACTTGAGCATTAAATCTGCCACCAGGGGAGCATTTGTAGGAGCAAATCTAGAAAAACATTTCGTCCTGAGGCTCTGCCAGACTTTGCAGAAATTAAGAGAATGCTGGCAAGCTAGGCGTCCTGAGGAAAGCCCAGCCCACGTTCCCTCCTTCCTCCCGACCTCCCGGGTGGCTGTCACGTACGGCGTTGTGGCCTGACCCGGCGCGTTAGGAACCCTCCAGTGTTTCATCTCGGCCCTTCCGTAATATCCTTCCCTCCCCTGCGCTACTAAAACCGTAGGATTGTTCATCGCCGCGCGCTAGGGTTTGTTTTTAATCTGGCTTCGAACACAGCGCACGTAGGTCGGGGAGCACAAGAGAGGTTACCGGACAGGAAAGAAACTGTCTGCGCAGGACGGGTCTTGCGTTTGCGTGTGTGTACATACGTAGGCACATATTTATGTGTGAATAATAAATAACAGGTGGTCTTCGGTCTTTGCCCAGCAAGGGCTGCTGTGCCAGCAGTAACCAGAATCCATCTGGGGAGATGCGTCCACGACTCCAAATCCGGCTCTTCAGCTACTTCCACGGGGCCGTCACCCCCCCCCAGGTCTGCGTTTCCTCGCCTGGTGCAGATAACCGAGCACTTTAGAAGCCGGGGGAGGTGCGTTCAGAACGCCCTGTGTTCCCAGTGGTGAAATTGGAAAGTCACTGTAAATAGCATTACGGAGGGAGTGTAATATATTTGTTCAGCTATAAGATTATTATTTCACAGAAGCCTTATAACTCTGCTTCGAGTAAGAAAACGGTTACCAAAAAACGACGTTTTAATACGCAGCGGTCGTAGTAGGTTTCAGAGTAGTCACTGTTACCAGGGAGGGTAGTGTAGCTTTACGACTGCATTTTGTACCATTAACAGCTTCTTACACATTACTTCTCGCCACGATCTATTGTTTCACGTAACCAAAAAAAAAAAAAAAAAAAAAAAAAGNAATAAATAACAGGTGGTCTTCGGTCTTTGCCCAGCAAGGGCTGCTGTGCCAGCAGTAACCAGAATCCATCTGGGGAGATGCGTCCACGACTCCAAATCCGGCTCTTCAGCTACTTCCACGGGGCCGTCACCCCCCCCCAGGTCTGCGTTTCCTCGCCTGGTGCAGATAACCGAGCACTTTAGAAGCCGGGGGAGGTGCGTTCAGAACGCCCTGTGTTCCCAGTGGTGAAATTGGAAAGTCACTGTAAATAGCATTACGGAGGGAGTGTAATATATTTGTTCAGCTATAAGATTATTATTTCACAGAAGCCTTATAACTCTGCTTCGAGTAAGAAAACGGTTACCAAAAAACGACGTTTTAATACGCAGCGGTCGTAGTAGGTTTCAGAGTAGTCACTGTTACCAGGGAGGGTAGTGTAGCTTTACGACTGCATTTTGTACCATTAACAGCTTCTTACACATTACTTCTCGCCACGATCTATTGTTTCACGTAACCAAAAAAAAAAAAAAAAAAAAAAAGCATGGTTTAATTAAACATGTTTAACCCGATACTTGTGCCTTAGGAAGTTGTGCCCCCTCCTGGAACCTGCCTGAACTGCAGCCACGGTGCAGGTTGTAGGTCGCCCTTGACCCTGACCGTGGGGGGAGAGCTCTCCCACCCGAAAGAATTCTTTTAAAAACGCTCTTCTGTATGATTATGTCTTACTTTTTTAACTCAACGAAAGAAACAAAAATCTGAAAGCCATATCCGTCGTGTTTGCACACAACTGTGAAGAACTGAAGACGTATGGCTACGTGTACATACGGGCCTGCTCCCCCGGCCCCACCCCCGCCTGTAACCCCGGGACTCGCCGCGCCTTCGGCGCCACAGACTTGCATGAAACGTTTCTGACGGATGTCACGTGGAAAGGGAATGTTTGGTGTTTGTGTCGGCTGTCTCTGTAGTTAGGAAATACGTCCAATAAAGCAGTGCTTTCCTGCCTGTCATTCCGTGTGGAAATCCTGCCTCGCCGGGGAGCGTGTTCGCTGCTGCAGGGACTTGCGCCCGTGAGAATGCTTTGTGTCGTGAAGCTGCGCTGATACGATCGCTGAGCCCCGAGGTGCATCTTGCCGACAGCGCTCTCCCTCTGACGTTTAAAGAGAGCCTGTCGTGGATGTGGGTGGACGGCGGAGCCAGATGGTGCAAGCGCGGCATCCGGCCGTGTGGGAGAGGGAGCGTGCGCTTCTGCCAAATGCCCCTGCTCAGGGGAAGGGCCTGGACGAGGCTCTGGCCACACACACCCCCCCACGTGCCATTCGACCATTGTATCAGCCAGACGACTGTGTGTAAACTCACCGCCTTCCACTGGCTCCTAAATATACCCCCTCGCCTCCCACATCTCCCGTTCAGGTCGGGAGATAGTCTCTGTCTTTCTTAAATTGTCAGAAATAGTGTTTCCTTTTAGGAGTTTCTAACGCAAGTGTTCCTGTTTCCTTCGCTAAGGGGGTTACAGGTTGAGAACAGCCCTTGGGGACCCTCATCCCCAAATGCAGCGTTCATCCCGCCAGGTTTCCACGCCCGGCCTGAAAGAAGCCATGCAACCTGCAGGGAGCTCCACGGGGAGGAGGGGACACGGAGGACGGTCTGGTGGCCACTGGGGGAGAAGGGACCTGGCTGTCCATGAGCAGGAAGTGCCCTGGAGCCCTGAGGCCCAGCGGTGTCCCCAGTCGGGGCCTGTCACAGACGTGGAATGCTGGGCCCCACGGGGCATCCAGGAGCCCCCGAGCCCCTCCTGGGAGCAGGCTGGCTGGGCTCAGAGATCGAGGCTCGTCCCTGAAGCAACTCGAGTTTTTATAAACCCGTTTCCCCCTTACTCCCAACAGTACAGTTTTGTATTCCAGAAATAAAAGTGTAAACCTATAAAATGATGGGTGGCTTCTTCTAGGCTGATTCTGAGTAATAAGGAAACGCACCCAGGCACTCGTTGCCAGCAGGGAGATGGGATGTTTGCCCTCACGTGTGAAGACCAGAACTGAGACGGCATTTTTCTGGGAAGCTGAGAGATGTCCACTTACCCAAAGCTGGCCGACCCCTGGAGCATTGGGGTCCCTGGCCTCTCACGGCGTCCTCAGTGATGGAGACCCTGCAGGAATCTGAGGACGGGTGCCTCCCCCAGAGCTGGGCGCTGCGAGCCCTGGACGTACATCATTGCCCACTCCGCTTCACCCTGGTGCCCCTCGGCCCCGTAATCCCAGCCCCTTCCCGAGTCTGAGACTATGGGGTATGGAAAAATTCTGACAAACATCAAATTTCTCCTGTAACCAAGTGCAGTCTAAGCAAAAATCTGGGTGTCTGAGCACCCTCTTCATCTCCAGGGTGTCTCCCCACCTGAGCGGTCGAAGTCCCCAGCTGGTCAGACAATTTTCCACGCCCCCCCCCCACTTGAGGGAGGGACCCCGGCATCACCAGCTGTTGCTGCTCACCCGTGGCATGGCCTTGCTGTGTCCCAACTGATGGTGTCGCAAGGAAGGTGTCTGCGCAGCTCTGATTAAATACTTCTTTTTTTTTTTTTTAATTTATTTTTATTGTTGAGAGTATTATAGGTGTCCC